CAAGGAGAAGAATCAAATATGACAAGGCCAGAAATAATTCGCAAGATTGAAGCTTTTTTAGAGCAGATGAATGAAAGCATTCAGAAACAGTACTGTGGGTTTAAGCGTAAAAGACTTAATGAGTTATTCATTGTATTAGAAGAGGTAAGATCTTTATTTAATTCAGAAAATGAACATGATAATGTTGATTACGCTAAAAATTCAGAATCTGTTGGCGATAATGTTACTAGAGAAGAATAGTAATTTATATTCCTGTATTCGGTTCGAATATTCAAGAATGTGTATTTCGAATTTATTATACAATTTCATGTATTGGTTAAAAGTACTTCAATTTTATTTAATATATATATATAAGTTTATTAATGTAATAAATAAAAAATTATTTAATATTATACATGATGTAAAATGATAATTTTTGACTTAAAATGTTCTCGTTATATAGTAAAACCTCCTTAAGTGCACACCCTCTTTAATTCTGTAATTGCACAATCAAGTTCTGGCCCAAAAATATACATACCCCCCTTACAAATGCACTTTTTCTTATTGGCATGTTGTTAAAACTTGTCTCAAGGGCGTGCACTTACTGACTTATAGAGGTTTACTATACGTAAAAATTCACGCGATTATGTTATTTCAGCAACGATGCATCAAGCGTTACTTCTGTGCCTAATATATTGTTAAAGGCTTTTCATTAAAATAAGAAACTACAATTTAGATTCTCCTTTACTCTTGTAATCTAACATGTACCTTCACTGAATTTCAACTTTGAAACGTGCATTACTGCATTATAGCTTGGCATTATAAGCTTGGGCGTCTTAAGCTTGGGTGTCTTAAGCTTGGGCGTTGTAAGCTTGGTGTTGTAAGCTTGGCGTTGTAAGCTTGGTATTGTAAGCTTTAATAATAATTTTTTTATTAAGATTTTTTATAAGGTTCGTACCTTATATAGTATTATAACTTCTGCGATTTGATTGGTTAATCATTGTAATACGCAGAACAATCTGGAAAAAAGGCTAGAATATTCCAACCAACGATCAGTACTAAATAAAGTGCGATCGTTGATAACCAAATATGGTAAAATCCCTGACTGTAATATGCTTTTGTGCTCTAAATAAACTTATTCAGCACCAAAAATACATTATTATAGCATACGTTTGCTTTATTTTTATTAATTTATAAATGGAGATGCGTAAATTTGGTAAATTTTTATCAAAAAAGCAATTTTACACATCTCCATTTACAAATCAATAAAAATAAAGCAAATATATGCCGTAATAATGTATTTTTTGGTTCTGAACAAGTTTACTTAGAGCACAAAAGCATATTTTATTAGTAAAAATTTAGTTTATGATGGATTTCCTATATTTTTATTAATAAAAATATAGAAAATTTATTATAAACTAACATCTTCAGAATATTACATAATATCTGTCATGGCTCTTATACAATACCGGCTTTATATCTTTAGGCTAGATATATAAAATTTAAAAATTTAAACAAAAAAAAATAATAATTTATATATAATATATGATTATTTGCTATTTAATATGTTTACAAAAATAAATAATTAAGAAGTATAGTAATATAGTAAAGTGGTAAAATTCTATAATGTTTTATTTGAAGCTAAAGTTTGTAATAGTAGATAAGCGATAGAATCTAAATTAATAGGTTGGGCTCAATTTGTATATAAAGGAAATAATTTAGTCAGTTGAGCATTTTTATTAGCAAAAAAAAAAAAAAATAGTCTAATTTCTATTGTCTATTTAATCTAGTTTTACCATAACGATTATTTCAATTAATCGTAGTACTTGCGCATAATCTCAATAGATAGCCAATCACAGCGAGAGAGATGCTTGAGAGCCCCTTAGTACCGATTTTATAAGTTGAATTAAATACAAAAAAAGATTACCTTTTATAAGAACTCCTCTTTTCAATATTATTTCACAACTCTGTTGCCTATGGAATGCCGACATATGTCGAGCCTCAGTACCTTTTTAAGCAAGGATATCAATATGACAAAAGATTATAGTACGATTTATACTCTTAAGAGAGTACCATTTTAATTCGTCTTCTAATTCTATTCCAAGTTGTGATTTAAGCCTTTAGAAATTCCCTTTAAGTCAGTTATTTGCTAATTTATTTGATCAGGATTATTAGAAATCAGGATTTGATATTTTTAAAAGTACCCAGGTAAGTTTCTTTCTACTTTCCATATAGGTTGTTTTAGAATATCGCTCTGAATGAATAATTATATAGCATTTTAGTAATTATCAAACACTTGCTTTCACCACATTTCAACCTGTAAATAGCGAATGAAATATTGTCAAAATTGGAGTACCTTTTCTTTATCGCCTCCCATTAGAGGCGTATGCGACCAATTTTGTGTATCATGGTTTTGCCAAAATTGAAATCTGATGGAAATCCTTTTCATTTCTAACTTAATTAACTCTCTTATGTGGTCATCATATCTATTTTCGGATTTGATTTCTTGAATTGCCAACTCCCAGAGATGATCTCATATTCTCAACATAATGTGTAACTCATCAGGCACATATCAGTCCAAACGGATTATGGGGAGAAGAGGTAGTTTGATATGGCTGGGCAGTGGTGAATCTAATTTCAGTAAATTTATATTTTTTTCAATTTTATATATGTTAATCTTATTTCCAATATCTTTTTTAGTGCAGAGGCACCAAGGGCAGAAATTTTTCAAATTTGGGGCATTGAATCTCAATATGATAGCCATGAACTTCTAGTTACTACTAAAGTAAAACTCAACTTTCCATTTTATACCATTCGAGTCTACTAACTCATCTGTTGTCAAATTATTTAGTTCAACTATAAAAGGTTCTATTACTTTTTTTAGAATTTCATAATTTTCTACCTCTGGGTATAGAACTAATGTATAATGAAAATCTGCTTTATGGATGTTCAATATATCGTTTAAAATTGTGCATGTTATCATTACGTGCTTAATTGTTCTACCGACGTTACGCCCATCGCCCGAAATTCGAATATTAATGACAGGATTATTTATATCAAGAACATTTCAGTCTACAAGACTTGGAATTATATATATGAGGATATCAGTAATGCGCCTATAGCACGCTTTACTGATATATTTTAAAACCTCTTCTTCAAATTCTTGATTGCTGGTATCTATAAATAAGGACAAAGCTATTAAAATTAGTGAAATTAAAAAAAAAAAAAATCTGAAATAAATTGGATCTTTGTTAAAAATGACTCTTCAAGACTATGTAAACTATAGTCCCGAAAGGTCATTTTAGTGAAGATCCCACTATCATCTCATCTTCATTAACATTAGAAGTTTCAAGAGGCATATTTTTAATATTTAAAGTAAAAATAGATATATTGAAACTCATTTCTTGGTTAATTCTTTTGCCGGTATCCAAAATCTCATATGCTCATGGTAATTCAGGTTGAATCACAGCTAGTTTACGATAAGCATGATGAGATATTGGGCCCTGGTCGATAACTTTCAAAAATGGGTCAAGAGATCTATCGTCATTTTCTTTATCATATTTATTATAGTTGATTACATAGTTTTTATCTTGAATGTTGAATTTTATTTCTTGTAAATTCGGGTTGTCAAGTGAATTAAAAAATTTTGGAACTTCATAATCAAAAGATTTGCCCATATATAGAGAAAATGCGCAAGATCTTTTGGTTTTCATAGATTCGCTCAGTTCATTAAATGGTTTAAAAGAAAGAGACCGCCTTTTTTTTTTATTACACTCTCGGTCCACGTCCGTGACATTGAGACCAAATATATGGATCCCGGAAATTGTCACATGAGTGTCAGAATATTTTTTCTATATAAAAATTAAACCAGATTTTTGTAAGGTTATACAAATCTTTAAATTTTATCATTCGTTTTATTTTTATTTAAATTTTTTTGTACTGACTTGCAGATAATCATTAGCAACTGCAGTTGGAGATTTTTTTGATTTTAACACATATTGTAGAGAATTTTCTTCAAATCTTATTATAAAAACCAGTCCATCCTGTTCATACTCTATTTCATATTCTACTATATGGTGTGACTTGCTTCTTCCCCAGCTTGTCTGAACTAAATAACCTTCTAGAATTTTATATTTATTACCACTATGAGAAGTTGCTGAAGTATAGTGTATTTTATTTTGGAGTGGATAAAATTCTTTATTAATAATATGATACTTGTACTTAGTGTGATTTTGCTTAAGTGTAAAAGGATTATTTTCGGGGTATTTGCTTTGGTTGAGAGATATTATCGCATCTAAGAAGAAGATTCACAGAAAAACAACGCAACAGTTGATTATTTATTAAAGTAATACAAGTTATACGATTTTTTTTAGTTCAACTGATTGCTCAACCTGCGTTAATAATATAAAAATTGTACGTACGTATGTACATATGTATAGTATATACGATTTACTTACTATAACAGATAACAGATAAATTTTTAAAAAATTTTATTATATCATCCTTAAATCTAAAAATCTTCCTAAAGCTAGCTTAGAACTGTTCATAATACTAAAAAGTAAACTGCATATAAATAATCTCTTGAAGAGAAATACTAGAAATTTTAAAAAAGTCTTGTGCTGAATATTTACCATTAACCAATCAGAATTGATTAACACTAGCATGTAGATAATCATCCAACCTTTCATTTTTAGCAAAAGCATGATAACTTTAAATACCAGTATGCTTACCTAATTTAAGGTATATATTTGGAATAAAGGCTTCACTTTTACTTCAAAATTTGTCTTATACGTCTTTAATAGAAAGTGATAAAGAAAAGGTATTTCGTGATTTCAATTTTGAAGTCATTTTCGATAAAGAACGGGCTATATTGATCATCGTTTGTAGAGGGATTTTTATTCGCTTTACAGACTTATGAAAGAACCAAATGCAGATTATATTTGTTTCAAAATTCAAAAAAAGTGGGTTCATCTTATTTTTCATGTCCTATCAGACAATATCAAGTAATTTTTTTTTTTAAAAAAAAAAACAAGTATAAAAGATGTTAATCCGTACAAGCAAACTATCTCTTCCATTGGAAAATCCCATATCACAGAATGTATGATACAGTATTCGAACTAAGATTATAAACATCATTATTTCTCTTATATTCAAATTAATTGGGGAATGTTATTACGTCGTATATAAAATTAGTCCAGGTTCAAAAATAATTATCCAATTTTAATTCTTTCGAAAATCTTATAGCAGCGCTATTGATCAATCTATTTATTTCAATTCTCATGCCAGGTTAGCGTCGATATTTATATTAGGCATAAGTGGACCTTATTTCTCTGAAATTTTAAACAAGATTTCCATTTATTGACATAGGCACAAGTGAACTTAAATGAATTATATAGGTAAGATGAAGGTGAGAAATCTCACATAATGAGTATTAATCATTCATAATTTAAAGAATATCATAATAACTTTTTAATTTATTAAAAACCTTAATTAAAGATCTCGAAGACTGTAAAGCTGCTACAGTTCAAGCAAATTATCCAATTCCTTTACAGTTTGGAATATTTTACTTTGAAATTAAAAAGAAAAACCGGTAATCTTAATAATATTTCATATCCTTCGTTCTTGTGTTTTTTATAACCTCCTAATTCTGTTTCTTAATAGAATGATTGGAGTCGGACATTGTATAAAGCAAAGCGATAAAAAAACAAATTATCCAACTTACTTAAAATATGCTCATACTTGGTAATAGCTAACATCTGTCGTATTCCTTTTGGGACAGGAATATAAAGAAATAAGGAAAATATACTTAAGTTAGTCTGTTCTCATAGTTGATTAACATCACTAGAATGTGGTAGAGTTTATTGCTAATACCCATTATTCTCTGTTAGAGTTAATGCGATAAAAGAAAAAAAAAAAAGAATGCGAGTAACAATCACATGGAGAAGTAGATATAATAGTTTTTTTTTTTAGAATTAAGATTTATTCGTATAACATAATGTACCTGATCTTTACTAAGAAAATTAAGGTAAAACTTTATGATTTACTGTCTAGGATTTGATTTTTGGCAGAGACCTGTATATTTTTTTATCTTTCATTATTATAACCCTAAACACACTGGGATAAAAGTCAGGTTACTTTACCATTGCAAGCAAATCTATATCTATAACAATGCATATTTATTTCTTTATATCTAAGGGTGTCAATTGTTTTAAACGAACGGACATGAAGGAATTAACGGTTCAAGTATTGCCACATTCCGAAGCACATTTATTGGTATGTATGTTTATTCTATTTTGTTTATGCGTTTGATATTTTTAATAGTGGAAATGGAGAGAAATTCAGATAAATGGATCCTTTTCAACTTGGAGTTTTCACTTGGACTTGGTAATACATAATTTCAAAGTTAACAGTACGGTATAATTTATTATTATATTATATTGTTGAAATGAAAATTTTTCATTATGGAAATTTTGCTTAAATAGGTGATCCTGATAAGATAGAAGTTAAAAAGAATGAGAATAAAGCACTTATTCATTTTCAAGAATCTTCTGAAATGAGCTATGTTCTTGGAGCGAGTATAGGTGGCCATTGTCATAAAACTAAAATCGAAGTTGAATATGGTAAATAAAGCACTTTTGTTTTAAAAACTTTCTCAAAAGAGCTTGAAGTCTTGTTATTATGGAATGTAATTTACATTATTTTTTAATTTGGAATTTTGCCTAGACATTATAGGAAAAATTCCAATTGCATTGTACCTAATTTCAAGGACATTTGAATTACACTCAATTCGGTACATACATATATATCGTTTTATAAAACTAGGCATCAGAATCTGGTAAGTGTTCAATGTGATACTCTTTTTATTTTTTTTATTTTTTATTATTATTTTTTATTTTTATTTTTTGATTCAAAAAATTGAGTGCTGTCAATGGACATTACGCGGGTTGGAGTAGTAGTGTGTTTTCCACAGCACTCCGGGCAAAACCACATGGATTTTGTATTCAACTATATTTAAGCTTAAAAAAGATTTTTTGAGGTCGGTATCTTTTGATTTACCATAAGTTGCCGCATAAACCACCCCCAGATCTGTTATTTTAAACCTGCTTAAAAATTGATTCAAACCCGCTGTACAGAGAAGAGTTTACTATGAGAGGTCTGCTGTGCAGTAAAAAAATTATTGACCAATTAACCCAAAGAAGGGTATATAATACGAGTGTAATATATAACAGACCCAGGTTTACTAGAAGGGGTTTCCTATAAATGAGTAGTTTATGCAGATGTTATCAGATTATCACATTAATCTATTTTATAATATTCAATTATATAGGCCAGGTCAAACTTTAATGAAAATTTTATTTTGGAGTATAACATTGGCATGAAATTTAAAGATCTTTTTTTAAAAGGTTAAAAAATAAAGGACCCGATTTATATATTGCAATTTTAAAATCATTGGGATTATATGACGCGACTAACCTTTTTAACTCTAACCTTTTGGTCTACATTGACTTGACAATTAAGATGCGATAGGTGTATTATTTGCTTCGATTTCTAATGATTTATTTAAATCTGCTAAATAGTTCTTCATATTTATCCCTTACATAAAAAATTACTTCATAGCATTATACATTATTCGGTTCAATTGATTTATTTAATTCTGCAGTAGTTTCTTATACTGTATATATTTGTCTGAAATTTCGATAAATCAATAACAAAAATGATGCAACTATATAAACAATTACTCAAGAATTAAGAGTGACATAGATTGGTCAACAAAAGCAACATCATATTTACTGCAACAAAAGGTGTGCTGCCACGGGAAAATGGCTGTTCAAACTTTCAATTATATTTTGTACCGGATACAATCTATTTAATTTATTAGAGATTGTGCCCGGTATAAAATATAATTGAAAGTCTGAATGGCCATTTTCCTGTGGCAGCACCATATAACTAAAGATGAATATTGTATTAAAAAGTTGTTAAAGAAAACGATTAGTATAACAATATACAGTATATAAATAATGTTGTACTAAATATTTCAGTATTTATATAAGTTATTGCAGTTTAAGAGATATTAAAAAAAAATCCAATATTACTATTCATGATTTATCAACTATCTGACCCACCTGTCGAAATTACGCATATGATTGGATATCAACTAATTAACACACTATTTTGTGTAACTTTACATTTTTGGGTGTGTCAATAATCTGCATAATTCCAAAAATCAGAGCATATGTAATAGATTTAATAGTTCGATAGTTCTAACAATAAATTATAGTTTTAGATAGATATATATATGTAGTACATACTAGAAGTTCAACAAATACTTATATATAGCGATAGTAATAAATGAATACATATTATGAATTCTATCTCTATGTAGTACATTATTAACTAAGCCACTCAAGTAGCACACTAAATAGGTTAAAGGCATGCCATTGGCATGCCCATGCTACTTTGCCAGACACTCTACCCGGCAAGTTATAAAAAACAAAAAAATTTTTTTATATAGCCTAAAAGTTAAAATTGTATTAAGTAAATATATATTTTGTATTTAATAAAAGTTACTCAAAATAGAGGTATGGCAACTTAGTGTAGTGGTCTAGGCGTAGTTACCCTCTCCAAGTGGCAGGTCTAGAGTTCGAATCCCACAAATAGGGTGCGAAATGAGCCAGGCCGGGCCGGGTTTTCCTAGGCCCAAATCTTAACCCAAAAAATATTTGTGAACCCAAGCCCGGAGAACAGGCCCAAACAGGCTTATTTTAAAAATGGGCCTGGCCCAGCATGACCCACCAACTAATATAAAATTTATTTTCAATAAAATATTGTAAAAATATACAGATCCTCGTTACTTCGATATACACTTTACACAACCAACAAATCCAGATAAAATTAGACTTTGCTGTTAATTGTTTATTTTATTTACAATCAAATGCCCAGAAAAATTTTATAATAAAATTGGCTTAATGCCTAAACACAAGCACAAACTAATGCAAAGCATATGCATCTAATTACAACAAACACTTTTCCCATCAATTAATAATCTAATATCCTTATATCGTTTAGTTCATTTTTAAAAAAGTTACAACTGAAAATCTTAGTAATTATATTCGCTTAAAATAGCTTTAACATTGAGATTTTCCCGGTTTTAAAAATAGTAATGCCCTAAACATTCATTAGATAATATATATAAATGTATAAATGTACATAAATTAGTAAATAATATAGATATTTAAAAATGGTAAATATTTATTGTGCATATATCATTTGGACTGATTTTAATAATTTGCGCCTATATAGGAAAAAGTGAATCAATTTTGCCATAAGCATAAAAGCTATTAAATAATTTGTGATATTTACCCCAATGTATTTGTTTATAACAATTAGCTTACAGCCAAAACGTATAACATTAAAATCGTGCAAGAGATTCTTCATACTCAATATAATAAGCTGTCCTTGGAATATTAATGAAATTGTATTATTTAGTTTGAATTTCTAACATTTTAGTTAGATCAATAGAAATCCCTTTGTATTTAGCAACTTTATTTATAATATATTATTCTGATGAATATGTAAATTTTGATGCCATATAGATAAAAAATTTTTCATAATCTTCACTACTATCGTTATTGGTCGTTGCTATCTGTAAGTTATTAAATAATTCAACATCAAATGCACTCAAAAAAAAAAAAAAAAATGTATTAAATAAATTTATCTAAGTATTCGAAATTACTATGGACAAATTTCTAAATATATTGCATAAAAAAAAAAATACATAAAAAAAAAAATCCTAGTTTTGAGCGTCTTCTTCCCAACCTCGTTCCTTTGCAATTCTGATCTAATCTTGACCGCAGATCAATGTTTCGACGGTTTCCGGAATAAGATTTGATCTATAATCATCAACAATCCTAGCCGCCATACTAAATGTCTAAACAAAATAAATTATGAACCAACATATATATATATTATTAACAGGATATTATAAAACTTGATTAAAAGCTTGGCTTACCGATTCAGAGGCCACTGAAGTTATTGGAACAGCAAGAATATCTCTTGCCATTAATGAAACAGTGGGATATGTTAGCGAATTTTCTTTCCACCAAGTTAGAACATTATAAGAATCAGAGCTAGAACGGGGAAGAAGTGGGTCACTAAGATATTGCTCCAATTCATCTTTCTTATTTACAATGTTAGCTTGATTAGCAGCAAGAAAACAGTCAAAATTTTGCATTAATTCGTCTTCGTGAGGAATAATATTGGATGAACTGCAATAGTTATGATGAGTAACTGCACTTTGCGCATATGTTAATTTATAGATCATAGTGACCCTATGAATAATTATCAAATTAGCAATAGTAAATTTTATATTTAATGTGTCAAATTAAAATGAAATCAGATTAAAATGAAAGTTTTCCATATTTTAATTAAAAATTACTGTTGCGATAATTTTTGGAACTTTTTTTTTAGAGTTTGGGTTAGGATTACAATAAAATGTATATATGAACTAAAATATGTGATTCATTTTAATCTGATTTTAGGTAGTTTTTTGAATTGATTACTAATCGATTTGTAAATTAATAATCACGTAATACGCATAAAATTCTACAAGGCTTTAGACAACCTCCAAAAGAACTTACTTCGTTTTAATAGAATCTAATTTTTCTTCTGCTTCATCATACGATAAGTTCATTTTTTGTGTGTATATATGAGTAAGTAATGCCATTTTATAGCAGGGATCCATTATTAATGCAATGCAATGCAAATCTTCTACGTCCGCCCAGTATTTATCAAACTTATTTTGCATCGGCACCACCATCTGACAAATAAGAGGATTTGTATTAGTAATATTTTTTTCAAGATGCAATTTAATTTTTACTACATGAGGAAAAACAATATTTGCTGTCAGATATAAGTTTCCCGAAATAATATTTGTAACTAGATTAAATAACGGGTTAGTATATAAAATATGAACTATCTTTAATAAAGATTGTTGCGGCTGAAACTGGAAATTAGAGACTTCAATTTAACAATATAAACTCTATAAAAAGACTTTGAAAATTTCGTATTAAAGTATTTAAAGTTTTCAACACTAGCTGTCTCCAGCTTTAGCAGCGACAAAATTCATATTACCTTCGTAAAATGGCTTCAAGAAATTACAAATATGTTTAGCCATTTCCCAATCATCATCAGACGGCATAATTTGTCTAAAACTATTATCTCTTAATGCTAAACGTTCAAATGCATTCTTATATGGAATAGTGGATATTAACATAAGATATACCGAGTTCCACCAGGTAATTACATCAAGAGTTGGACGCCGATTTGATAAAAGTTCTGTACAACATCCAATTATAGCATCCTCAAAATTTTGTTGCCGATGTTGTGAGCCATCAATCCATTTAACACATTATCTGATTTTACATATAATACTTTTAACCACTTTTAAACCATCATTTACTATAATTGATGATCCTCCAGTCAACTGAAGAATGATCATAGTAAAATGTGACTCAGATTACTATATAAATTTACTATAG